GGGGGGGGAGGGGAAAGCTGACAGATAACAGATAATAGATTAATGTCTTCTTCGATTGGACCTCCTCCTTCCTCATCAATTAAACCCCTCCAAAAAATGGGTCGGGTGGTGGGTTTCTTTAAAACGGATCGGATAAAAAAAATGGGTCGTTTTAAATCTGGTGTCGCCACGTGGCACTCCATCCAAAATAAGGGTATTTTTGTTCCAAAGTATGACGGCAGGGGTATAGATAACCCAATAGTATAACGAGAGGTATTCTTAGATCATTTTCGAAAGTACATGAATATATTTGGCCCTTTGCCGTATTTAATAATAACAAAGAACAAGATGAGAGAAAAAAATAAGGAAACAGCGCAACCACAGCAAATCGATCGTTCCATAAAGTAACATTTTTCGCCGTTACATAACGACAAATTTAATAATACGATACAATAAAATTTAAGTAACGATTAAAATAAATATTGTATTTAAAGTAACAATACGATATAATAAAAAATGTAACAATCATCCAAACAAGCCGTAAATAACAACAACATGGAAGTCTTTTGTTTAGCTGTTTTTTTATTTTTATTTATTACTCCGTACTAGCTTGATGTAGTAGTACGATATTGAAAATTGTCATCAACGTACTACCATACTGCATGTTTTCTTGAAATTCACTTATTGAAAAACATGGGTATCGCCCCTAAAAGTTAATTAAGTGAGTGTAAATTTTAAAAATAAGAGTTCAAAATCTAATCGATATGAAAAATAGGAGTAGGAGATTTTTTTTATATGCCTAACCCTTATTAGGAGGAGTTATTTAATACATATGCTCGCAGTAGGTAGCAAGTACTCAAATTGTCAATGAAATAATTCTAAATAGAGTTACTCGATACCTATATCGTGGAAGCTAACAAATATACAATTCAATGAAAAATGTAGAGAGTTCGCAAAAAGTGACAAGTATACAAGGAAATAGTCAAATCGCATACAAACTAACCCGAACACTATCGTATTAAGAAGATAAAAAGAGCTTGTTTTAGGTTAGAGAATGCAGGAAAAATAAATAAATACTCCTTCTGTTTCAATTTAGATTACACATTTCGCTTATCGAGAGTTAGTTTGACTAAATTTTGAAGCTAAATTGAATTAGTTTAACTCAATATTTTAAAACTATAATTTAGATATTCAAAAATTATATGAAAAATACTATAAATTGAAATTATTCTTATGTGAATATGATAAAAAAAAAAAAATACTTTAAAATATTGATCAAATTTCACACAGTTTTACTTTCGATAAGCGAATTGTATCATCTATATAAAAAGGGATGGAGTAATATTTATCTCTGAACTATTAGCCCGTTTGACTAAACCTTTTTGAAGCAAAAGTGCTTTTTTTTTAATTATCAAAAGTGCTATATGTCACACTTGCGGAATCAACTAAAAGACTCAACATATTACATATCATAAGCACAATCTTGCGCAAGCTATCATCGTAGTTTGACTTTCATTTGCAGGTTTTAGATCTGAGGCTGTACAGATTTTCAGACATTTTTTATTTAAATAAAATTTATTTTATATTATTTTCAAGTGATGTATTATATAATATATTTCAACTTTTATATACACTTAATGAATATTTTCCGCAAAGTAGTGTTGGATCTATTGACTGTCAATGCATTTATAATTTAGGCAAAAAAAGGTTTTATAACTAACTACATGTGACTAAGATTAAAGATATGTTGTTTTTATATAAGTGTTATTTAATCAATTGTAATAAACTATTTATCCTTTTGGTGTCATCATTTATGTTTACCATACACATCATATATGTGATTTATTTCCAAATAAAATGGTAACTTAAAATTTTGTATACCGCCCATAAATGAACAAGTAATTATCTACTATACAGATATTATGCATCAAACATTATCGGAAAAAGAACAAATACACAGATACTCAAAGATACACACTTTTCGTTTGCAAATAAACAAATATGGAAATATTCCTTTTATATTGAGCACAATTCTTTTGGGATTTGCAGCCGTACCCTATATTTGTGCCATCATTTAACTTATACCCTATTTTTTAAAATTATTGATTTGGTAGCCACCTGACAAAAAATTCATAATAATATGACAATTATACCCCCTGACGAAAAATATAAAAGTTGCATCACGCATTAATCGCGTGATCTGCAACCTCATTCGTGAAAAAAGATCCCCTCCATCACTCCGTCCCTCCTCAAAAGATCTCCTTCAACCGTGGTCGAAGATCTCCTCTCCTCTCTGCAACTTTATCAAAAAACCAGAAACTTGAACCAGATTCATATTCCGAATTCAAAATTACAAAATACATTATAAGTATTGCAATTCATCTTCAGAATTCGAATTAGTTTGTGAAACTGATTGATCTTCATGATATATATTTCTGCAATTATTTTCGTAATTCGTCATGCTTTTTAAGTTTTGAACTTAAAAAATAAAATCTGAATTCAATTAAAATATGTTTATGCTCATTTATGAATCACACTTGCATGAAGTTGTTTGACAGATATAGCATAAAGTTTTCACTTATAGATCTTCAAAAACTTTTCAAAACTTCAAATTTAATGCATGAAAGATATAGAATAAAGTTGTTTCACATTGAAGTCTGAAGTTTTAATCAAATACAAGCTAAAACTTCATGCTAATGTAGCATGAAGTTGTTTCACGTTAAAACTAAAACTTTATGCTAATATAGTATCACGACCCGAAATTTTTCACCGACGGGACCGTGATGGCACCTAACATTTCACTTGCTAGGCAAGCCAACGTTAGAAAATTATTAAATCAATTTCTTATTTCCATTCAGTAAATAACAATAATTAACTAAGATGAAATATGATAAGTGCAGAATATTATAAAACTGTATTAATTACTACCACCCGGATCTGGAGTCATAATTCACGAGCTTTCTAGAATTTTCTACAAGTAATAGTCTGAAAGAAATACAACTGTCTGAATGAAAGAAATAGTAGGACAGAGAAGATAGTTGGGGACATCAAGGTCTGTGAACGCCGACAGATCTACCTTGAGTCTCAGGACAGCGGACCAATAGCAAAAAATCTCGATCAACCCGAGCCGATACCAAAATCTGCATAGAAAGTGCAGAGTGCAGTATCAGTACAACCGACCCCATGTACTGGTAAGTGTCGAGCCTAACCTCGATGAAGTAGTGACGAGGCTAAGGCAAGGCACCTACAAATCAACATGTACAATTTAACAGTGTATATACAAATAACAGAAATGAAGAACTAAACAGGAAATGTCGGGAGGGAAACATGCTGAGGAGAATACGAGATAAAGAAATACAACAGAATGATAACCGGAGCAGTCAACATACCATGAATCAACATGAATAGTGAATACAATAAAGGAAAAAAATGCACGGCATCACCCTTCGTGCTTTTACTCTCAATCTCACCATAAAATCAATAAAAATGGCACGACATCACCCTTCATGCATTAACTCTCATATCATGACACGGCATCACCCTTCGTGCATTAACACTCACAATATGGCACGACATCACCCTTCGTGCATTAACACTCACAATATGGCACGACATCACCCTTCGTGCATTAACACTCATAATATGGCACAGTATCACCTTTCGTGCATTAACACTCTCCCTTACCATAATGTAATGCATAACAAGTACAAACCTTACTTCAATATTTGGTTCCATAATATCAATCTCAACTTTGAAATAAAAACTCAATTATCACCAGAAATCCGTAAATATGATAAGAACGATAAATTGAACAACACTAATATAACATGTAGCAATTAGGCATAGGAAAGAGACAATATAAGAAAAACAGATAAACATGGAAAACAGGTAAATTGGCGGTGCATAAGTACTCGTCACCTCACATATACGCCGCTCACATGAATTTCACTTAGCAAGTAATCTAAGTTTCCTAATTCCCTCAAGTCAGGGTTAGACACAACACTTACCTCGCTCCGAAGACCACTTAATTCTCAATCACAGTTTTTCCTTTGGAATTTACCTCCAAACCACTAGTATCGATTCAAAAATGACTCAATAATATCAAATATTTCTAAAGAAATCAATTATATTGCATAAATTAAATTTCTCAAATTTTCCTCCAAAAAGTCGAAAAATCGACCTTGGGCCCGCTTGGTCAAAACCCGAGGTTCGGACCAAAATTCATTTACCCATTTACCCCCAAGCCTGAATATGAAATTAGTTTTGGAATCCGACCTCAAATTGAGGTCTAAATTCCCAAATTTCCGAAATTCTTAGTTTCTACCCAAACCCCTAATTCTACCATGAAAACTCTAGATTTTCGGTTGAAAATTTATGAAATAAAATGGGTAATTGAAAAAAAATGGTTTAGAATCACTTACCAACACTTTGGGGAAGAAATTATCTCTTGAAAATCGCCTTTAGCCCGTTTGTTTTATAAAAAGTTGGAAAAATGGCTTAATCCCGTGTTTGATTCTTTTTTAAGTGCTGGGCGACAGTGTTCATCGCGTTCGCGAGAACACTGTCACATTTGCGAAGAGTATAGGCTGCCAAGCATTCGCGTTCGCGAGACCTTGCTCGCGTTTGCGATGGTTGCTCACCCTGGCCTTCGCGTTCGCGAGACATTGCTCGCATTCGCAATGAAGGAAAGATCGACCCTCCCCCAGGTCTCAAATGCTTCGTGTTCGCGATGAGCTGGTCGCGTTTGCGAAGGGTAAATCCCCCATCACTTCGCGTTCGCGAAGAGTAAAAAATCAGCCATCCCAGTTTCTACTTCGTGTTCGCGAGAGTGCCTTTGCGAACGCGAAGAAGGAAACCAGAAGGCACAAGAATCTGCAGAAAACCAGATTTTCCAAAGTCCAAATATCCCCTG